TATACACTGTAATCATGAAACAAAGCGACATATTTGTACTAGACAAGTCTAAAATTACTGTGGATAAAAAAATTATATTCTGAACCCCATGTGGATTTACACAAACTGAGAAAGTCAAAAAGTGTTACTTTGTGCCCCGCTCTCCCCTACTCCTCCTGTTTTATCTGTTTTAATCTAGAGGAGAGGTTGCTTTCAATCTTAAGAAGATAGAGTTTATGATAGAAGATAAGTTTATGATTTTCTTTGAGTATTTTTATGAGTATTTTGTGACAAGCCACTTGAGGCCACTTGAAGTCAGTTTTCTTTGCTTTTTCTTTAGATGTTGGCTATAAATATATAACTCACTTTCCAATTTAATTGTAATTTTTGGGTAAACTATTCTATTAATATCATTTGTATTATTGCTGTTGTTATTATTATTATTATTATTATTATTATTATTATTATAGGTTGTATATTTGTTTGTTTGTTTGTTTGTTTGTGTGTATGTGTGTATATTTATATATATATATATATGTTAGGGTTCGTATTGAACCGAACGAGTCGTTGGACTAACCCTATTACATTTGGAAAATAAAAGAGCTTAAAGTGTGTGAAATATAATCTTCTCAGTGCCACTGCACTCAACAAGGCAGCCCAAACGACGTAACAGGCAAAGTGCTGTCTGCCCCGCGATAAACTCGAAAGACGATGATCTTGTATCGACGATTGCCAGAGATATTGTCAAAAACATCAATTATTAGCAATATTAAGAGGACTTGGTATTTCCAATTAATGTAGGCCTGTTACATTCTTATTTTTATTAGGCCTATTATTATTATAAAGTTACTTTTATTATTAATTTAAATTTACAATTAATTTGCTCCGCAATATTACCGCATAACTAACGCACTGTGAGGATAACAAAAGATTAAGCTATTTACTCCTCAATTACCATGTTGTAAAAAAAGGTATTTTAAAACAGGTCTATTATACAATGAATTATAGGCCTATAATTAAAATATTAACACTGCAGTCATCAATAAAAATCAATGAAATAAAAAGCTTTAGCCTATTTCAAGCACCGACTTTCAAAAACAACCTGTTTAACACGAAATACGTCTTCTCATTTTTTTTTTCACTATGTACGGGCCACAAGAGAAATATTAAGGGAATAAATTAAAACAGTTAGCTATAGCCTACTGTTATCAGCATATGTTGAAGTAGATTCGTCTCTGAGAGAATATGTGGCATATTCTGAGGTCTGTCATTCCGTTTTTACTTTCACTTTATAGTGAATTGACTGAGATTAAGACGTTCACCGGCATAACTCGAAGCAAAAACATAAATATTTCAAACATAAGCAATACTGACGCATTAACACAATTTAACAGATGTGCGGTCATCTCTAGGTGTATTGAATTTTAAAACCGCATCGAACATCCAATCAGATTGGTTTCATCTGAGCATTAAATTAGGTAGTACATTAGATCCAAAACTCCATCTATCATCCTCACGCTTTAATGACAGCAAACAGAGAACACAATGCACAGCCAATATTCAGATGCCTGAAGCACTATTAACACTTCGCCTGTGATTAGACGCTGAAGAGGTGCTTCAGAGCGCTTGTCTAAGTTGTTCCAAATGTGTACCAGATGTACAAACCTATTTATTCAGCCAGCTGTATCAAAGGCTCGTGGATTTCTCTTTTAGATGTGGTTTCATCATTAGATGGGTAGGGAGCGTGAGGGCAGATTGAACGGATGTTATACACGTCTCCTCACAAGATATGGGAACGCTTTTGCTAGTTTGTACAGGTGTCTGTGCGGGAGCCCCTGACCTGTCAGTCCAAATTCTCCACCTGGACAAAGAGTTTAGCCACGAAATTGCCTTTGAAAAGCTGTGATTCTCCTGCAGTGAGACGTGCTGCTTTGTTGCTATCACAGGCGCTTGTAATCACTTGGACCTGTTGGCAACATCTGAGACGATGTGTCTCAATCTGTTGCCCTCTCAGTTTCTCTCTGTTCATACATGTCTCTTCTTGTTCTCCTGCTTGTCTGTCAGTCTTTCTATCTGCCCGGTCAGCCATCTGTCTGTCTCTCAGGCTGCCCATGTCTCTCAGTGAAGAGACCAGCATATGTTGCACTTTGGATGCTGCTGTTCCCACTAGGATTTTTCACTAGCTTAACCAGCAAGACTTCTGTTTTCAATCAGCTCCTCCAGAACGAACGGCGTAAATATGCTGGTCTACCAGGCAGACCAGCAACAAACCAGCATAAACCAGCCTGGACCAGCATAGAAATTGGCTGGAAGTCATTTCAGCAGGGTGGCTATTCATTCTTCTATCTACCTCAAGAGATTTTTAATGTCAAGGACCTCTGAATGTGAAGACATACTGTCACAAAAAATAGTAAGTATAAAATATGAATATGTTAATTTCCTAAATTAAATAATTGGCTTTTAAATTGTCACAGTGCTAAAATCATAATTGTTCAAATGTAATTTGGACAATATTTTCTGGAGACCCCCTTTCTAAAATATAAAGGCAGCTTTTTTTCACATGAAAAAGGCTAATTTATACTTTGACAAAAAATATATATATATTAAGTATAAAATACAAAGACATTTTGTTTCCAAAATGTAATACTTGCCCTTTAATTTGTTGCAGTGCTAAAACAAAACAAATTATTAAAATATATTATCTGGTAAATATAAATACTTTTTTATATTTTTGTAGCATTTGTCTGGGGAATATTTACTTTGTATTATACTTAGATAATAATCAGTAGTAATATTTAAATGTATATATATATATATACAGTGGGTACGGAATAAAAGTATCGGTATCGGGCGAGTACTGGAAAAAGTGGTATCGGTGCATCCCTATATATATATATATATATATATATGAGCTGATTTAAAATAGAGAATTACAAAAAGAGAATTAAAGAATTTTAAACCAAAATATTTTGAATATTAATAAATAATAATATTTATTAATTATTTATTTAGTACACAGACAGACAGACAGACAGACAGACAGACATATTTATTAATTATTTATTTAGTACACAGACAGACAGACAGACAGACAGACAGACAGATAGATAGATAGATAGATAGATAGATAGATAGATTTTTACTCTTTTTGTGGGAAAAAAAATCTCTTTCCTACATTTTTCCACAGACCCCCAAGCACCGCCTTGCAGCCTCCTTGGGGTCCCCAGACACCAGTTTAAAAACCTCTGGCTTTCTCATCAAATGCTGGTTTTATCTACAAAAGTTAATGTCTTATTCTCTGAATCTCATGTCATTCATCTTTCCTACCTGGTCAGAAGAAAATATAGCTTCTCAGATGATAAAGCAGAGAGAGATAGAGAGAGGTTTCAGGGATTGTGCATGTATCCTGATGGATCTCCTCCAGCACTAAGGAAATCAGGTTAGGGAAGAGGGGCGTTTGTCTGCCGGACACTGATAAGGTGATTACACACAATGCCCTGTATTTCTGCAGCTTCTTACTTTCTGAACATTGCACAATTATGTCCTGCGAAGCAACAGAGCACCAGAGCAGATCAGACATTGCAGTAGTTTGAAGATTAACATGCATGTGCGTGTTCTGTTCCAGCGGCCTTGAGGAAGCATCTCTGTTCTGCTGATTGTTTGTGTTGCTGTTTAGAGTAGTACATCACTGTCATTCCGTGAAATCCAATGAGACAAGCTGCCAAGATATAGAGAAACCTCTAGTCCTAAAGATTGTGTGTGTGTGGGTGTATGGCATCCCTGTAGGCCGTCGCAAAGCTGGGATATAAAGTGTGTGGACCAATGCGAGCATGTGAGTGAATGTTGAGTTAGCATTTGCCTTCCTCCTGTGTCTAAGGTTCATAAACATCATCTTAACAATCTCCTTCATTCTCTCTGGAGATCCCAGCATGCACTCATGATCAAGAAGGGAAGGATTACTAGGGCTGTGTCCGTACAATCATATGTCAATATATTATGAGGCTTTTTTTATTGTCACTGTATTACAATAATACTTATATACCAATACTATATTTGTATCAAGGTTTTAAAAATTGCAAAGAAAAAAATGAATTTTAATTAATATTATATATAAATGTAGTTTAATATTAATATTAATACTATATATATATATATATATATATATATAAATGTGAAACTTATTTAATTAATACAGTACATGTAAAATGTAGTTATGTGTACATGTAAATGTAATAAAGTATATATGCGTTAAGTATATTATAAGTATACAAGTAATAAGTATCACATTTATTTAATATAAATGTTTATTCCAATTTTTAAATAATCATTAGTTATAAGTATTTTAGAATGTATTATTAAAATGTAATATAGAAAATATAAAGTATATGACTATTTTATTTGCTTCATTTAAATATTAATTTGAAATTTTAAATATTAATAATAATACTAATAATAATAATATGTGATCATTTATGTAATATGTGGTTCTTTGTGTATTATATATAAATGTAATGAAGTATTTAAATATGACATCTGTTTAATATAAATAATTATTCCTATTTTAAAATAATATTTAGTAATAATAATTATTTAATAACACTCACTTTGTACACACACACACACACACACACACATACACACATACGTGTGTGTATACAATATGCATGTTATTAAATAATATATAAAATACACATATTTTTAAAATATAACCCTGGAGTCCCTGTAGACTTCTACCAAGCCTGGATATATAAATATAGTGTGGATGACTATGGAGATATGACTTAATGCTGAGTAGCATTTGTCTTTCTCCTGTGGGTCAAAAGGTTCATAAACATCAGCTTCATACCCTCCTTGTTGTTTTCCGGAGATACACTCAAGATCAGGAAAGAAATATTGACTAATTTGCTTTCTGATGCCTTGGACATGTTGTGATTGGCAGATCTAGTGTGATAGCCAACAGTTTATGTGCATTATGGGATCAGCATAATGATGTGCTTACACTGCCGTATCATTGTTCTGATTCATAAGGGACTTGGTTTCCAAGATTTTTTCTTCCCAGTTAAAATTATCATCGCTAACAGGGAACTGTTTCTTTCGTGTCTCTTTCAGGATCTCGAGGTTCGTACAGCAGTCAACACGCTCACCTGGGCCCCGAGCTGAGGCCCCTGCAGTCCCCTGAGCACCACATCGATCCCATATATGAAGACAGAGTCTACCAGAAAGTCCCTATGAGAAGCTTGAGCCAGAGCCAGGGAGAAGCGCTCCCTCCGGGCCACACTGGAACCTACCGGAATAACACGGGTAAAGTTTAGCCACACTCTCTCTGTGTGCGTGAGCGCTGAAGTGTGTTAATCCCCAAGTTACCAACCTCCAGGATTTCTGCTAGAGAGCCAAATCCTTAGAGAGCATTTATCCAAATCGGACACGGTTCTTGCTTGCAACCGAGTGGTGACCTCATTAGAATTAATCGGAGTTTTAACTTAGAGGGTTTTACGCGTCTTAACATATCACAATAAAACACCTCAGCAGTCTTTTTCAATTAGCACATTGTTCATCTTATCTTGATTTTAGGTCAGGTATAGTATGTTAATCTCATCAGTCTCGACAGTTTTGTTGCTGCTATTTTTAGTTCCTTACGTTTCAATGAGAAAGTGTAATAGTGTGAATTCAGCTCAGGAGCGTGCGATTGATGGCTTGATTACAAAGACTGTGCCAATACAGTCATAATGATATATCATGATTTTTTTATATAGTTCATCAATAAGACGCGCTCTCTGACAGCAGGTGGCGCCTATGAACAGGGTTGCCAGGTTTTGCAATAAAACTAGCCCAATCGCGTTTCGAGGAGAGTTCCCCTGTAAAAATCGCATTCTGGGGGTAAAATACACGTTTTTCGGCGGGATCTTCCCGTAAAATTCACATTCCAGGGACTAAATATCACGTTATTGGGTCGGGATCTACTGGGACAGTGATAAAGATCTACCAGTCGATCGCGATCGACGGGTTGGCGACCACTGCTTTAGATCCTTGGATTGATATTCATTCATTCATTCATTCATTCATTCATTCATTCATATTTTTGTAAATAGTTGTGGTTTTATATTAATTTAACTTTATATTATATAAAAAGTATAATATAAATATATATACTGTAGTATACCTTTTATTTATTTAGTTTATTACCGTATTGGCCCGAATATAAGACGACCCTGATTATAAGACGACCCCCCTTTTTCCAGATGTACCTTTTGGAA